ATTATGTTTTCTTAGTTGACTATTCACAACAAAGTCTGATGCCTTTTTGCGACACTACCGCCATCTATGCACCATGTTTCTAATTATTGGTGTGCTAAAAATAGAAGAACGCCACCTTTTTTTTAAGGGTGGAAAGTCATCGAATGACTGCTCCCGCCTGGGTGAGGCGGAAGGGAGTGTCAGACTCTTGCTGACTAAAAACCACACCATTCCTCCTCCTGCACTGGTTACCCGTTAGGTTCTCCGCGACTCCGAAGAATGCCACCCTTAGGTTCTCTAAAACAAACGGTACACTTATTTGAGAAACGTGGTCAATCACTTAAGTCATACTTTAAAATGTAATGCATTGAGGAGTTGCAGTATGGTTATTTATTAGTAGGATGGGACGTTGTGAGGGATTGTGGCTACAAACATTTCTACTGGTCTTTTCTCCAAACATAGCGGTGTTTCCATAGCCACATTAATTCTAAGCACGTCGACCACAGGCAAAACGACTAATTACTGGCTTCAGTTCCTTAAGACATCATCTTTGTTTACAAGAAGCTAGAACCAAGTTTCTTTGAAAGTTTGGACATGTTAATTGACTTTCATAACGGTTAACTAATGAGCTTTTGAGTAAAAATTCATGGACACTGCATTTGAAATTAGCAGCTTTGTTTCGTCTCATGCGTGGTATATTTCAAGTGGGTCATTTTACTATATCTCAAATGTATTGAAGACAATGATGGGAGTATGGACTGTAGGAGTATGCTGAGTAGTTGCATTAACGGTTTGGAACGTTTGAAGTTTCGGTTGCATTTGGAACGTAGAAATCTGTAGGCAAATGCCACTAGTGTCCTTTGATTTGATACCTTTGGCTATGACAACAAATTTCCTTGAGCTTGCTTATTACCTTGGTTCGTATGAATTCAGCCTTCATTTGTAAATCATTCACACTATTGTAAAGGAATGCAATATGAACACAACGCTTAATCACTACGATCTCTACCGTGTACATGATTTGTATCTCATTCTCCGTCTTACCGTTTGATGCATTAATATTGTTACCAGTATCTAAGAAAACGTCAAATTGCATCAAGATGTTATCATTACAGTATACGTAAATTAAATTACCATTTCCTTTACAGTATTGAGACGTAAGATATATGACATTATTTATTTCTATCTATAGATAAACTTTTGACCAGTATTGAGATCTCAGTCGGCTAACTAAATACGTCGTTAGCACAGACTACCAGTGTGGCACAAATAAATCTTGTTCTGTGATCAGAATTCCTATTATATTCAATGCTTATTTATTCAACCTGTTCATGTTTGTATGAATGATTTCGTTCTTGTCACTCCCAGCTACCCACGCAGCGAAAGCCGAAAATGAAACTGCTATTCTTTTTTTTTCTGTATCGTGTCGTTCGTCCCCTACATAACACCAATCGATGTACTTATCGATTTTTGTCGTAATTTTATTAAATAGGTAACTAGGTATGTTTTGCGTGATAGATGGTTATTGATTTGGGTGGCACGCAGAGGTAATTTTTATGAATGGCTACCTAGTCGCGACTTAAGGTAAATTGAAATATGTAGTAAATGACTTGGGTAACTGTTACAATGTTGCCGCACGATTATTCTGTACTATCGTGATGTGTGTGAGAATGGTTTCATGTTAGGAACATCAGCCGTAGAATCTTCATCGTTTAACTGTTTTGTTACTCTTTTAACATTGACATGGATTTCTATCACCGTTTGTTGGTTAGTAAATTGCCTTAAGGTAGACTAAAAATACTTTTCAAAACGAAAGGAACGCGGCATTGTTCAAATGTACCTACAGATATAAATAAAGTCATAAAAGTAATTGGTTGTTAAATTATCTGATCACAAATCACGAGAAAAAATGTATAGAGGTAGGATAAAAAATCGTATTTTTTTTTTTTTTTTTTTTTT